ACCTCCTGCTGCAGCTCCTGCTGCTGCAGCTCCTGCTGCAGCTGCTGCAGCAGCAGCAGCAGCAGCAGCAGCAGGAGGAAGCTCTGCTTCTTCATGAATAGCTCTGCATATGATGCCGGTTGCACGCTGCAGTATTGTTACAGGCGAAATTTGATTAGGGTCGACCAAAGCCATCATCCCGACGATCATCTTAACGAAGCCGTCTAGAGGTAATACATTTAACTCTTCTACCTCTAGGGGTTGCTCTGCTACATTTGCTGCTGCTGCTGCTGCTCCTGCTGTTGCTGATGATGCTGCTGTCCCTGTTCCTGTTGATGATGATGATGATGATGCTGCTGCTGATGATGATGATGATGATGGTGATGCTCCTGATGGTTCTGTAGCTGCTGCAGATCCTGCTGCTGCTGCTGCTCCTGTAGTGGCTGCTGCTGCAGGTGCTGCTGCAGCAGATAGAGGAGCTATAGCAGCAGCAACAGCAAGACGTAGAGACACCGCAAAAAATCTATCAGTATTACCATCCATCCTCAGCAAACCCTGATGCGATATTCGTTGAAAGAATGTAGCGCGCACTACGAAGCTTCGTTCTGCTGCTGCTGCTGCTGCTGCTGCTGCTGCCGCTGCTGCTGCTGCTGCTCCCCCAGATGTTGCAGCACACAGCAGCAACCAATCTTTAAACACACGCTCAACTAGCTGCTGCTGTGCAGCCGACACGCGAGGCAAACATGCAAGCTGACGCACAATCGGTTGCTGCTGCTGCTGCTGCTGCTGCTGTTGCTGCTGCAGCAAAGCCAACAAACTGTACACCGGACGCTCCTCCTGTGCATATATATACACGCAACAGCCCCACACAGACACGCTGCAGCAGCAGCAGCAAGAATAGCAGCAGCAGCATCAAACAGAGCAGCAGCAAAAACAAAAACAGCAGCAAAAATAACAGCAGCAGAAGGACCAAGAAGAGCAAGAGCAGCAGCAAAAATAACGAGAGCAGCAGCAGCAACAACAGGAACAGCAGCAGCAGCTGCAGCAGCAAGAGAGGGTACCTGCGGCTGTTCTGCTGCAGCTTTGAATGTCTCTAGAAGCTTCGCTCTTGACTCCTGGAGTTGCTGCTGCTGTGGAGAGAGCTGTGCTGCAGCAATAGCAGCAATAGTGTGCGGCCAATCTGCTTCGTCGCAGCACTGCTGCTCTTGCAGCAGCCGCAGCAGAGCAACAGCAAACTCTAAGAACCCTCCTTGTTTGCTGCTGCGCTGTACTTCGCTGCCCAGATAGGGATCAGCATCTGCTGCTGCTACAAGCTTATACCGCAGCAAAACAGCAGCAACAGCAACGCTGCTGCGCCGACTAGCAGACTGTGCTGCTGCTGCTGCTGCTGCCGCTGCTGCTGCTGCTGCGGGACTGGTATTTCCTGCTGCTGCTGCTGTTGCAGCAGCAGATCCCAGAGGGCCCGCCCCCGTTACGGATGCTGCAGCAGCAGCAGCAGCAGCTGCTGCTGCTGCTGCTGCAGTTGAGCAGGTTAAAGTAAACACCTCTGTGCATAAACCGCCGACCTCCCTGTGCTCCGCCTTGAGGCCCTCTAACAATGCAGCATAGACTTCAAGATAAACAGCTGCAGCAGCAACAGCAGCAGCAGCAGAAGAAGCAGATGGGAAGGGGACCGAAGCGGGAATTGAGCGAGCAACAGCAGCAACAACAGCAGCAAAATAACAGCAATTAAAGCAGCAGCAGCACCAACGGAAGCACTAAAAGCAAAACGAACAGCAACAGCTGCAGCAACAGCAAAACCAAATGCAGCAGAGACAATACCCGCAGCAGCAACAGCAGCAGCAACACGAGGAGGACAGCTGAAGCGCCAGAGCCCTCCCCTGACGCAGCACAAATTAGGGTTTAGGGTTTAGGGTTTAGGCGTACAGACTCTATCAACCCCCCGTATAGGCGAATGAGAGGGCCTTAACTGAAAAGAAGCAGCAGCAGCAAGCATAGCCCTAAGAACTCTGTGAGCTAAGAGTGAAGCTGCTTCTTCTTCTGCTGCTGCTGCTGCTATAGCCCCTGCAGACTCCAGCAGCAAAAACAACTCTGCGTTAGAAGGCAAGCAAGCAGCAACAAGTAGTGCTGCGTTGCAGCAAACGGGGACAGGTGTTGCTGCTGCTCTGCACCCCAGAGGAGACGAGAACTGCAGCAAAACAACACAGCAGCAGCAGCAAATGCAACAGCTAATGTAGCTGCAGCAAATCACCAAGTGCAGCAGCAGCAGCAAATACAGCAAATGAAACAGCAGCAAACATCAATGCAGCAGCACCACATGCACTCAATCTTCACAGTCAGCCGAAGCAAGCTGCAGCAGCAACAGCAGCAATAATAGCAGCAGTATCAACAACAGCAGCAGCAGCATAAACAACAACAACAGCAGCAGCAGCAGCAACAGCAGCAAAATACCTTTGTGGGGTGCGGGCTTGAAGGCATGACAGGGGGACAGGCGAAGATAGCGAGGACTTCTTCTTTGATTAAATTTAAGCACTCATCAAAACGTGTTAATACTTCAGCATTACAGAGAGAACCAGCAGCAGGAATCGGCAGAGGCTCTCGGATTGCTGCTGCTGTTGCTGCTGATGCTGCTGATGCTGCTGCTGACGCTCCACCACCCGTAGGAGCCCCAGAAGAACCGGAAGAAGACACCGATGCTGCTGCTGCTGCTGCTGCTGCTGCTGCTGCTGCTGCAGGGGAGGTTGCAGGAGCAGCACGAGCGAGGAGCAGTTTCTGCTGCTGCTGCAAGTCTAACTCCTGAGAGGTTAGGCTGCGCAGCTTCGACAAGTCGAGTTGCTGCTGCTGCTGGGCTCTAGCTGCTGCAGCAGAAGCAGCAAAAGCAGCAGGTTGTTGCTGCTGCTGCCTCAGCAATGCTCCTGCAGCAGCAGCCCCACCTGCTAGTGCCTGTGCAGTAAGTCCTACAGTTCCTTGTTGCTGCTGCTGCTGTTGCTGATGTTGATGTTGCTGTTGCTGGTGTTGTTGCTGTTGCTGTTGCTGTTGCGCTGCTGCTGCCGCTGCAGCAGCAGCAGCAGCAGCAGCAGACTGCTGCATCTTTCTAAGCGTTCCTAGGGTCATGAAGTCTTTATAAATCTGCAGCTGTCGCGAACAAAGAGATGAACGAGGTCTAAGAGCATCGGGTATAAGGAAGCTCCACTTGCTGCAGCTCATATGCAGTGTATCTGCATATACTAGTCCTCTCTCTCTTGCATGTCTTCTTGCTGCTAAAGCAGGAGCTAGAGCTATTTCAATGTCTCTCAGCACTCTCTCAACAACAGCTTGTTCAATTACAGCGCAGCCCAGATCTAAATTATCTCCTCCGACTACTTGCACCACCTGCTCCACCAGTACCTGCGCATACACCCCAAATATATATATATACATATATATATATATATGTTTAGATATGTTTATATGTTTATATATGCATTTTCATTGTTTTTATTGCTTATATATGATTTATTATTATTCATGTTTAATGGGTTTGGCTGCTGCTCAAGGAGGAAAAAAGCAGCAGAAACAACAGCAGCACCACCACTGCAGCAGCAGCAGCAGCAACACCATCACTGCAGCAGCAGCAGCAGCAACACCACCAGTGCAGCAGCAGCACAGACACCACCACCACCGCAGCAGCAGCACAACAGCAGCAGCACAACAACAGCAGCAGCAGCATAATGTTGTTTACCTGATCAGCATCATCTTTAGTGCTGGCGGGCTGCAGCAGCTGTCTTAGATGCTGCGTCAGCGCAACTCTCAGCGGTTCTCTGGACGTAACGAGCGCCAGAGACCCTGCTAACGAAGCAACCATGAGATGTGCTGCTCTCTTGACCAACGCCTCTTCTCTTTCTAAGCAGAAGTCCTTACAAACCAGCTCCCGAGTTGCTACGCATGATATCGACACTGCAGCAACATGCATTATAACAGCAGCAACTAAAATCATACAAACTCTACAAAGAAATGCTGCAGCAGCAGCAAAAATCATAGCAGCAGCAGCAATAATCATAGCGGCAGCAGCAGCAGCAGCAGTGGGTCTTTTATTATCTAAAAGGAATTACAGAAAAACAAACAAACAGCAGCAGCAGCAACAGATTGCATATCACCGCCGTCGCCATCAGAAGGAATTACAGAAAAACAAACAAACAGCAGCAGCAGCAACAGATTGCATATCACCGCCGTCGCCATCAGCAGCAACAGCAGCAGCATCAAGTGAAGCAGCAAGTGCAGCATGAGCAGCAGCAGCAAGTGCAGCCAGTCAGCAGCAGCAAGTACAGCATGAGCATCATCAGCAAGTGCAGCATGAGCAGCAGCAGCATCAGTAAGTGCAGCACGAGTCTGTATCTATATATATATATATACCTGATCTCTCGACAACAGCAGAGATAATATCCCGAATAGCTCTTTCAACAGCAACAGGAACTATAGCTTTCAGAGAAGGCTGAAGAGCAAAGAGAGCAATAGACGGAGAAACGACGACGCAGCAGCGCAGCGACTGCAGCAAACCCTCGCCAAACCCATCGCCGCTCATTCGTAGAGACCCCTGCAAATAAATTAATAATATATATTTATTTATTTACTTGTTTACACCACTAATAGGCTTTAATCAATAAGATATATATATTTATATATATATAAATTATATTATCAGAACCAGAAAGATATAAATAAATAAATATAATTAAATATAAATTAATTAAAAGGATATAATTAAAAGGATATAATTAAATATATAAACGCATATTATATACACTCAACAGACATGCATACACCCCAAACACTTCATCTTATGCATACAGCTATCTATACGAATAAGATCAGCAGCAGCAGCAGCAACAGCAGCAACGCCAGCAGCAGCAACAGCTACAAAAGCAACAGCTGAAGA